AATTAATCAAAAGCGATATGGATTATAGATGGCCATGAAAGAAATTTAACGCAGTGTTACCTACAATGCCATTCATTTTTTTTGTTCACTGTCAAAGAAAGAGATTAATCAAAATAATATTGACAATATTATTTTCATAAATGAATTATTATTGTTTAGGGAACACATTAAACTTCATATTTGAATTAAATAAAGTAAGCACAACACAGCTGTTATAGTGTATATATACCTCAGTTGTTATTGTGACGCGGCCATTGTTGAAGCGTAGACGCTCACGTAGCGTGAGAGATTGACAAGACTGGCCAGTTAGAAAATTCGTAAAATAGAATAATTAATTTAAATAATTAAAATATTTAAATATTTAAATTCGTAAAGATTTAAATAATTAATTTATACTTCTAAATTTTATATCTATAATATCTTGTATTTTTTTTTTAATGCTATATATCATTTTTAAAAGGTGTTTTTTTGTGGGTACGCCATAACTTCGTCAATTCTTCCTCAAATCCAATGATTGACCACTCCTTTAGAAGATATTCTTTTCCTTCATATGTGAAAAATAGTCCCATCCCTCCGAAAGTTCTGGAAAAAAAGTTAAGGAGGAAAAGAAACTTTATTTGCGAATAACTCAAAAAGTAAGCATTGGATTCTTCTTGGATTGTACCCATGATAATTATAAAGATTGCTAAATTACCTACAAAACAAAAAAAAAGTCGTAAAATTCGGACAATTATTAACAAAATATTATAATCTATTTGTTTGGGTATACTTAATAATGTCTTCCTGTTTAAAGATATTGCATTTAGAAGTAGAATAGTCAACTACATTTTTTTCCTGGCCTTTTATATTGACTTTATTATTTCTTAAAGACATTTGGTTGGTCTTACATTTTATTTTTTTAACAATTTAGAATATCCTATGAACCTGACATTATTTTTTCTTTATTACTTTTACTATCTTTCCAGTCAGCGTTTAAAAATAGGTCCTAGCAAAGCAATTTGTATAAATATGATGGTCTATTATGTTTAATGGAATATTGTAATCGACCAAGGAAAAAATATTAATTCCTTCCTTACATAATACATAGGAACTACTTATTTCCTTATTGTTTTATTATTTCGTCACTAAACAAAATTGTCTGCGAATTTTTCGCACGGCCCAACTATTATAGATTTATTTAAGAAACAAATTGTAAACATTGTTATGGGTTCCTTTATCCATTAGCATAACTGGCAATGAACAAGCCGTTGAGGGAGCAAAGGAAGTCGACAGCAGCAAAGAATCACCTGTTGTGGAATCGATAATTCTCAACGATTGGACAAGGGAAATTAGAAAAAAAGAGAACGATAATTGTAATTGTAATTGTACAGTGGAGATCATTGCCATTCAATCAGCTTCGTCTGACCAAAGAAGAAAATCGATCTTGGTATCCTCCAAAACACTTAACATCAAAAGAATGCTCTATAATTAGCAGGCTCAGAATTGGACATACCAAACTGACCCATCTCCACCTACTTCTTGGCTTACATCGACCAACATGTGAGGCATGTGAAAATGATAATCTGACCGTTGTACACATATTCCAGTGTAAAAAATTCAATAACAACAAATAGATGAGAAAGCACCGTACAAAGAAAACAATGGTTTAGAAAAAACGCTAAAGTATATTCAACAAATAAAATTAATAAGTTATGTCTAAGAAGAAATATCATCGCTAATGACTTTGGCAGTCGATGCGACGTTAAAAAAACAGCAAAAAAATTATAAATTAAATAAACGAATTGAAAACTCGTTTATCTGTTGCCATGGTGATCGCCGATAAAGGTGATGTTAGATGACGGACACAAGTTTGCTCATGGACACGAGTGACGTCACGTGGACATAGTGGTGCCCGCGAGCTCTAGGTTGGGGACCCCTGCTATACATCTTACATCTAATAAATGAATTATTATCAAAACTAATATATTTACAATGTTTTCATTATAGTGTGGCTTATATTAGTTAACTATATATAAACTCATTTCAAAAAATATCATACCATAATAATATAACTAGAAATATATTGGTAACAGAATCGTTCTTCTTGTGGAACTCTGCAAGTAAGGGATACTTGTTTTAGATATTTCTTTCCAACCATTACTATATCGATTGAGAAATGATATCAAAATCGAATAAAGTTGCTCAGGCCATTCAGTATAAATCAATCAGTGGCAGGTCAGACGACATCAAAGGCCTTTTAGCAATCGATCGATCGATATCAGTGCCGTCGAGGTAGTGTATTCCGGTTGAAGTTTAGGGCTACCTCATTATGCAGGTTCTTCAAAGGATCTATTTTAAATAAAAGTGCTTTAAATAAACCTCTCTGTTCTTGCGATATTTTCTCACTTTATCGATAGAAGTCCTTCTTGTGATTTAGGATGATTTGATCAGAACTTTTGCCCGGTGTTCTCGCATTTATGGATGCAAGTTTTTTATGGGTAGTAAATGAAACCGAGCCGTCACACTGGAGTATGTAACTTTCACTCGTGTAAAGTCGGCTCGACTCGACTAATTGAAGTGTTTTCGGTTCATTATTTTCAATAATGAAACATTGTGATCGACCAAAAAGTTCAAAAACTTAACCCCCTCTCAAAATTTGAGGTTTCACGTTTCAAGATGCGTAGAATTCGAAAAACGAATAAAAATTTTTTTGTCCGTCCACCGTCCGCTCATTTTCTCCGTAACTACTGGACCGATTTTTTTTTTCAAATTTGGATATAAAATCAGAGGTCATCCGAGGATGATCCTCCTTCATCGACATTACTATCCGCCTTTTACTTTCAAAATGGCGCCCGAAAAACCTGCGCTGCTATAGTGCTGTAGTGCCTAATCGAATTTACCGATTTTAATGAAACTTCGCTATAGTAATTTCCTTGACGCCCTTTAATTTATCTATATGACATACTTCAACGAAAAGAAGCTGGAAAAAAATGTTACGAGGGGTGGTAAAATTAAATTCCGAATAACTCAAAAAGTTTACAATTTTACAAAAAAAAATTCCTTAAAATCGGACAATGAGGAGCGAAGATATGGTCTCCAGTATATTCTTTGTTTTGGTTTTTAAATTTTGAATGTGTTACTGAAGTAATGCTGTTCTTTTCAGCATATTACTAATTATTAAAAAAAAGTTTAGTCAAATAATTGGAATCGCCTTTTATTTATTTTTTTTGTAAACAGAAAGGTAATGTTACTTTAGATGTATAATTGTAAATTTGAAAAAATTGAACCTGCACACTGTAAGCGAGAGAAACGCCGTGTTAGTTTCGAATACCAATTAATAACGCGTTTTTTTGAGCATATCGATTAAAATATTTCAAAAAATAATTTTAACCTGCATGAGTGACGCTGAGTTGGAGAGCCGGGAAGGGAAATATATAGTGTCGAAAACCAAATGATAACGACTGCTTGAACATTTGAACTAAAATATTCCAAAATTTTAAATAGAAAAAAAAAACTATACCACTATACAACCCATAAAGGGTTTCTTCGGTTCAATACTATTTAGGGAAAGTACCGTTTCTTGGTTTACGGTCATGCAGGACGGTAGTTAGGGCGATATCTCGCTCAACCGCCAGATTTTTCCTCTTAATTAATTATTCAATTAATAGTATCCACTTTATAGAGGTTGGATGTGCTCTAGAAGGGTCTGCTGGATCCCAGGTTCGATCCATGACTAATGAAAAATTACTAGTAGTCATCAGCCGAATTCGAACCTGGGACCTTCAGCTCTGGAAGACAGTACTCACCCACTGAGATACCCCGCTCCCTTAGAATTTTAAATACCAAGGAGAATTCAAAAACCAATTTACGGAAGTCGATATTTATATTTATGTACTTTCACTTACATATTGAAAATTTTCGAATCTGAGTTTTCAAAGGAAATAAAAGTTGTGAGGTCTCCTGAGTTCAAATAACCAATTCCCACAAAATGGTGTGTGTGTGTTTGCGTGTGAACAGCCTAGCTCGAAAACGAAAAGTCGTACGAAACTGAAATTGCGTGTATAAGGTATTTACAAACATGGGATGCTACAGAAACATTTTCTTTAAAATCGGCAAACCGGGAAGGATACTTTATATAATCGATTTAACACATTTTATTAATTAGCCATGAAAATAAGAAATTATATAATACTGTTAGGTATTCTGTAGCACTGGATAGAGTTTTACAAATTACTGTGCACAATGTAGTTAATTTTTTCGATATTAGTTTTATCATATAATTACAAAAATATAAAAATAACCAAAATCACGAAAATAAGTATAAAATGAAAAGTGAAAGACAATAGAACATAAAATTAGTTACACCACGCAGATTAACTTTCACTTAAGATGACATCTTATATTCATCATTCAATAGGTCAAAGTCTATTTTATACAATCTAAGTTGTCATTTTTAATCCACTATAATTTGTTATTCTTATAGGCATACCCTACAGTAAAAAAAAAAAAAATAACAAGAACAAAATAGGTTTGAGAATTTTTCAAATAATAATTATTAATGATAAAATTACGAACTAACGGAATATAAAAAATGTATTATACAGGAGTACACACCCTCAGCAATTGTTAAATTTGTAGTTGTAAATATATTAAACAATAAACCATCTAAACAAACAATAAATCGAATATCGAGATATTATAACTAAATTACTTAAAAGCAATCTAATGACTGAGTTGTTCTTACAATGTATTAATACTTACTAAATTGAGCTAAGAGGGAGTTATTGGTCCAGAACTTAAATCAAAATAATTTAGAAACACATAAGTCATAATATTTCAGATAATAGATAGTAAGTCAGTTCATTGTACGCCGACTCAAAACAATTAATCTTAAGCTTGCTCATCTGTTATCGGAGAGGTGTACAACATATTATATCATTACTTATTTTATATGAATACTAAATAATTTTATGTATTTACAGCTTTAATATTACTAAAATATTATTTATTTTATTTTTCAGTTGTGACCCCCCCAAACAATGTTGCACTTTGGGATGTTGCTACCTCTATGCACCCCCCTCTCCGAACCTCCTCTCACTCATCTTCTGGAACCATTGGTACCTTTGGTGAGCTAGTATATCATATCTACATTACAATTTATATTATATTAGTGAGAATTTATTTAAATATCAGAAAAAAATTTATATAAGTAGCGAAGGACGGGACCAAAAGTTTCCTGGGTAAGTTGTTCCGAGTGAAATAGCCAAAACGAAAAGGGATAAATATTTTTTTGTTATTTTTTATAGCGTTAAAATTAAAAAAAAAAAATCCTATTTTGCCAGAATATTAGTCTTTTAATATAACCTAAATTCATATATTTCCTGTCATTCTTACAACACTGATTATTATCTAAATTATGTTATATGCTCCTAATTACAAAGACCGATTAGCTACATCAGCTGTTAATTTCAAAGTGAGATAATTTATAACCTGAAAGTACAACTTTGAGATGTGAAGTAATTATAAGTTATTACTATTATAAAAAAAATAACCTTTTGAAAATTATTTCTTTTGTTTCATAATTTTGTTAAAATTATCAGACTTATTTGACTGAATAATCTTAAGGTATTGTTAGTTAATATTTAAATAAATAATTATATATTCAAATCTTTATTTTTTTAATCACCTGTGTTCTCGATAGACCTAGTAACAACTTACCCCAGTTCGGATTAAGTAGTTACTTTTTGTTTTCCTATAACTAAATTTCATATACAACATTTGTTTAAGGTACCCCCAAAAGTCCTTCAGATCTATAAAGAATAATATGGGTACAAATTACAAACTATCATAAAGTTTGTTCATAGGTCATTTTCCAAATAATATGTGACGTTGCTTAAAACTCGGAACTTTTAGCTCCGCCCTTCCCTACGGCTATAAAATTCAGATCTCATCTGCTGATTGTCGTAGGGTAATAATTATTACCAATAAATAACATCATGAGAAGGAGTTGGTCGAGGGGTGCGATCAAATAAATACTTTATTAAAATAGTATTTTAAATAACAGACAGTTGTCTGATAAATAAATAAAAGAACTAATAAGAAGACCTCAGTGATATAGTGGGTGATAATATAGTTAAAATATAAAGTATTATATATATATATATATATATATATATATATATATATATATATATATATATATATATATAGAGAGAGAGAGAGAGAGAGAGAGAGAAGAAACAAACAAAATTAAAAACAAAGGTGAATATAGGCTGGAAGTAGAAAGTAAGCAGATTGTGATAAAAATATAAGATATGAGCGGATAACAAACTAGCAAAGGTTATACTTGATAACTGTAGGTTATCAGATAAAGCAATTGAAGGTTAACAAACAAAGAATTTTGTATCTTCTATATATGTAATACTTTATATTTTAATTATATTATCACCCACTATATCATTGATGTCTTCTTATTAGTTCTTTTATCAGACAACTGTTTCTTGTTCAATATCTACTAATATTCATTTTTATTTATTTTTACTGTATACCTTTTATATTTTGTATAAAAGCTTACACAGTAAACATTAGAAGCGTAAACAATAAAATGTTATTTTAATATATAATATTTATTTGACCGCACCCCGGACCAATTATAATCACGGTCCACGTGACCAATTAAATTAATATTTCATCACAAAGTTCATTCATGTCACAAAAATAATGTACAAAATAGATAAAAGATAAAAAAAAAAATACAAAATATAAAAGGTATACAGTACAAACAAATTAAATGAATATTAGTAGATATCAAATAAAATACTATTTCTGACTCTCATTAAATATTTGTTTATTCCAACAAGAATAAGAAACTAGTGAGGACTAAGGATAAGGGCCGGCGGCGGGTGCCTACAGTACCCGCAATACGCAAATGCCTCCCAGGCAGGTTAAGTCCAGGCGCAATTCTAGACCGTTTAGGACATAATTATAATGAATAGGGATATTATATTATAAGTTATGTATTTTTTCCCAGAAAATCTATCTTCTATAGAATTTATATTATGAAATACATTAAGAATGAATATAAATAAGATTGTATTTGTCCTCGAGAAATTGTATATTTTATGTGATCATTTTTTATTTTATTTTTTTAACTTGTTTATTGAAAATATTACAATCTGTCTCAAAGGACATTTATAATAGTGTTCAGAGATCACAATTTATGTGATTAAATGTTTTTTTGTAATCTTGTTTTTTTTTTGTTACGAATTTTAAGAAATTTACAAAACCCAATAATTTGTTTATTTTTTTTCTTACTGTTTATTATTGTGTGCGACATAATTATTGTTTATTTTGGCCTTACTGTTTGTAATGTTGCTGATTTCACAAGAAACGTATTGCTGGTAACAAGAAACGTGGTAACAGTTGCTCTCATTTGCTGAAGGTTAAGATTACACGGATAAAAGCCTCCTGTTCATTACATCCCATTTGTGCTCAATGGAACTGAAATGTGGAGACAATGCTAGAAGGATCAGATGTGAAATACCTAGATTTTCAAGATATTGATGAACAACCCCCTATGAAGTCGCCTATTGGTGTCAAGATAAGATATGGCTCTTTTTTGAGGGATGTATTCCTCTATAATTTCTTGATGATGAACTGTAGTGAGATTATCCTCCGTTATATGGAGTAGAATCCGTCCTCCTGAGTAGGAGTAGATCCATACCATCACACTGTTTGAAGGAAATGTGCCCATGGTCTGTTCTCGGCAGACTCGTCGACACCTAATGTCGCTGTAAATACAAAAACGTGACTCATCTGTAAGAATAAAAGCATCTTAGCCTTAAAAGGGCATAAGGTCTTAGACCAACTTCCCATAAACGATTACGAATGATTTCTGTTAATATGAGCCTTGGCAAAACATTTGAGAAGGAAAGATGAAACAATTGCGGCTTGCAATTATGACAATATTTTTGTCATCCCTTGTCAGCTGCCGTAATGTGCTGAGATCAGGTGCCGTAATGCGCTGAGATCCACTATAAGTACTCCTATTAGTTCTTCCGATTTCTCTGAATTTGGCTAAAGCTCGAAAAGCAGCATTCTGGGAGACGTCAACTGCATCGCAATATCCACTTGCTGAGTACTTCATTTCGATAAAGAGTATTAAAGTATTTTAATTGGGTAGTTACATGTATTGTTATGGTAATATGTGTGAGCCCGAGGATATACTAAATAATGTTTTGTGTTTCAAAATCTAAAACATATAATTTACATTACCAATCATAAATGATACGTTTTTTTATCGTAAAACTACGTCTGATAGAATTTTAAATATTTACCAATAGAGATATTTTTTTATTTAGGCTTACGTTTGATTAAGATAAATTGTTTATTTTTTATAACTTCTACGATATGAGTTTTAAAATATTCTTTTTTAATAACTATTATTAATAAACTATCAACTATGTTTCACATTGTACAAAGCAATAATTAATTAAACATGTAAATTAAACAGTTATAAATATAATTTGAGAATTGAAATGGAGTTTGCATGCCTTTGCTAATAAACACCCCTTGCACAGATTTAATATGCAATATAAAATAATAATGAATAATTAATAATTATATTTTATTAACTTTATGTATTTTATATGCACAATAAGATGCTACGATGATATGTGTTAAAGGGACAAACTCAAATATCTTTCCTCAGCAGTAAACTTAATGAATGACCAACGGTCATAAATAGGCCAATAGAAAATTCAAGTTATTGACAATCGACTGCATTGTTAATGAATGGGTCTATAAATAGCAAACGTAGTAATTTCAATTGAGATTAGTGATCGATTTCTTTTCGTGAATTACTTAAATGGAAGCGAATAAGATAGTCCGCGCAATCAATATGAAAGTTAATATCTGGAGCTTCTATTTTTACGCTCGAGTGGAACATCAATATATATACTCTATATTTACGGCAGCCCTACACTCCGGTTATTTTTATAGCTTTAAGAAAGTCATATTTTATCTACCTATGTTTATTACAGTTCCACCAACCATGGGTATTATTTATGTTATTAATGTTTGAGCGACATCCAGAAATACTCTTGTTGTATACAATTTCTGCTCTGGTGCCGTTGGAATGAAGTCATTCAATTTTGTAATTGATAATTAGTCGCTGAAAAATAAAGTTAAAAAAAATAATAACGATATTAATATTTTAAAAAAGATAATAAATATTTTAAATATTAATAAAAATGGTTCGGCGCTGGGTAGTTACATATTTGATTTATTTTACTATAATACATATTTTCAAAAATCAACCATATAATTAGTCGAAAAAAAAATTAATCCCTTCGCCTAAATATTTGAGATTTTAAATTTTAAGACACTATAATCTAAATTATTTAAAAAATGTATTTATTGACTAATATAATATAATATTATATTATTAACTAAAATAATATAATTAAAATAATAATTAAATATTATATTATTAATCAAAATAATGTCATTTCCACGACACCCCTTACGAGACATCATATTTGATCCACAAACAGTTTCAATCAATAGCAGTTTCAAGCGAAATATAATCCAAACAACGTTAGCATTCAATATGAACCTAAATTGCATCCAAAAGCTCCCGATAAAAACTTTCCAAAGTGGAGTCCTCCGAATATTCCTACAGAAAAATATATGTCCCACATCTAAAAAGAACCTCTAGTTTCGGATGAAAAAAAATCTTATTTTTTAGAATTATTAAACAAATACTACAATTACAAAATATTGTACACAGATGCATCAAAAGCCGAAAACCAAGTGGGATGTTCAGTCGTTACAGACAGTGAAGAATTCTTGTACAAACTTTCAGGAGAATGTTCTATTTTTACGGGAGAAGCCACGGCTATAAAAGAAGCACTCTTGCACATCCGCACAAACCACTTCAAAAACCATGCTATCGTAACCGATTCAATGTCCGTAATAGAAGCCATATAACAATCAACGAACCAGCATCCTGTTATAAAAGAAATTTTTAACATATATGGTGAACTAAAGGAAGAAAATAAAAACATAGTCCTTATCTGGGCACCATCACATTGTGGTATCCTGGGTAAAAGAGAGCCGATGCTGC